TGGTGGGATGAGACAGCAGTCTGGCAGCAAGTATCTGACTTCCCCCCACAGGAGGGAGACGCTCTACGGGTATACACCCAATAGGAAGAGGAGGGCTTGGGAGTATACACGTGACAAGAAGGCGGATCCTGGATTCAGGACGGCAGCCTCACTTTGGAGGTCACTGAGCAGGTCTGACCTGTTCCAAGCTCTCCAGGGAAACAATCACTGTCCCATCAATAGGGTGTGAGTCCTCCCTGTGGTGGGAACAGACAGTAGTCTGCTGGCTCTGTATGGCTGAATGCCTTCAGGGAGATAACGTGATGATCATTTACCATTAGTTGCAAGCAGTGTCCTAGTTCTGACATCTATTTGGGGGAGAGGGACTGGGGAACAGCCTTTCTCTATCCCACAAGGGTCAGTCGGTGCAGACCGGCCACTGGGGAAGGACACTGAGGTTGGTAGAGAGTCAGTGAGAACCTCTCCAGGAGGTGGGGAACCCCACAGCCACGTTGGGGCTCAGACATGGCAGCGATCAGAATGGAACCCTCCAGGAGGTGGGGGACACCACAGCCACGTTGGGGCTCAGACATGGCAGTGATCAGAATGGAAGGTGTAAGGCCAGGCTGTGGTCAGTTCTGCTGTACAGAAGGCCGTCGGGGGTCAGAGCCGACGCGATACCAATGGACAACAATAGCCACATGGCTCGTACCACCACCGTGCCCAAAAAGGTCGATGGGTCTCTTGTGTGACCTGGGCTACAGGGTGTCCCTCCCTGGGCCTCAGGGGTCCCCGTGAAGAATCTTGAAAGGCCCGGGGAGTGCCCAGAGGACAAAGAAACCTGTCTCGGAAGAAGGATGGTCAGGGTGCTCTTTAGAGTAAGGATGGCATACTTGAGACGTGTGGTCAGGAGAGACCAGTCCCCGGAGGACATCCTGCTTGGTCTGGTGGAGGGGCGGTGAGATGGACTGGCCCGGGGCCTCATGCACAGGGACAACTGCGAGGCTGGACTGTGTTTGGTTCTGGAAACAGAACCAGACGGGCTGGCACCGGCTCGATGGCACCTAACAACAGCCTTAAAACATGAAAACGAGGCCCGTGATCTTTGATGACAAAATGCTTGGTGGAGCCCACGGCGCTGGGTGGAGGGGGCTGGCAAGGTGGCGGGGGTTTCCAGGGCCCCCCAGCTAGGAGTCTGGAGGACCGCTCCCTGGGAGGGGCCCTGCCTGACCTTTGGGGCGCCCGAGCCGTCCTTGTTTCAGGGGACCTTCCGCTCCTGTGTCCCCTCCGCAGCCAACCAAGTTCATGGTGGGCACCGAGCAGGGCATTGTCATCTCCTGCAACCGCAAGGGCAAGACGCCTGCTGAAAAGATCGTGTGCACCTTCTCGGGCCACCACGGCCCCGTCTACGCCCTCCAGAGGAACCCCTTCTACCCCAAGAACTTCCTGACCGTCGGGGACTGGACGGCCCGGATCTGGTCTGAAGATAGCCGGGAGTCGTCCATCATGTGGACCAAGTGAGAGCTGGGAAGGGGAGGGGGGTGGGGATGGAGGGTGGAGGGGACCGGCTGGGCGTGGGAGTCCATCAGAGAGAAGAGAACACACACACACACACACACACACACACACACACACACACACACGCAAACACCAGAGCTTATGGATGGATGTGGCTTAATTCCTTCCCTTTGCAAACTGACAGCTCGCAGGTGGAGCTTCTGGGTCTAGGTGGAGCCCGAGTCCTGCTGGCCACCTTGCTGCCCCCTCAGAAGGGAAAAAGGCTAGAAGGCAGGGCCTGGGGGGAAAGCTGCCCTCCCGGAGTCTTCCTCAGGATTCACCTCTAGGGGTGCAGGGGAGGCTGTGTTCTAGACCCCAGGCCCTCCTTGCTCACTGACTCTGCCCCCACCTCCATGAGTCACACAGACATAGGTACGTACCTTGGGTAGCTGTGAATCCACTGCTAGCAACCCCTAGTAACACGGAAACCTCAGAGTGCCCCATCCAATCGGAATTTCATGCAAACAGTGGGTTCTTATTCTTTCTTGTGTTTAAGCGTGAGTTCCCCACACACTGTATTTGGGACATGCCTGCACTAAAATAGTGTTTGCGGTCGGCCTGGACAGAAAGCTTGATGCCCTGGGTGGCCCGCTGGCGCAGGGTTTGCGCGCTAGGCTGTGAGCGGTGGGATTCAGCAGTTCAAAAGCACCGGCAGCTCCTTGGGAGTAAGACGAGGCTTTCTAGCCCGTCAACAGTCAGGGCGTCCCAGCCTGCCCTCGAGGGTCGCCAAGAGGCAGCTTCCACTCCAGGGCAGTGAGGTTTTGAGCACACCCCACAGCCTGTAGCTCCAAAGCCTCTCAGAACCAAACTCCCTGCCGTCCGGCTGGTTCCAACTTACCCAGCAGTAGAGAGGAGAAGGACCCCCCATGCATTTCCAAAGGCTGTTCCTCTTTACAGGAGCGGGCAGCCTCAGCTTCCTCCCGAAGGGCGGCTTGTGGTTTCCAACCGCTGACCTGGAGGTTAGCAGGTTGGCAGCTCAACTCGTAACTCACGGCGGCCCCCGAGCTCCCGAGAAAAGCAGTGGAAGGTTAATTTCTCTGGGTGGCCAAGGGGCTGGGCCCTGGAGGACCTGGATCCAACGCTCCTAGCTGGCAGTGTGGATGGTTCGGAGCCCCTCCTCCTCCCCCGGCGTCCTTTCAGCTGCATCACCCAGCGGCATGGGGCCTGCTCCAGAGCCAGCGGTCACTGCTGGTCCCCAGGCGCTAACCACGGCTACGAGCTGTGTCGCCCACTGGCACTGACTCAGGCGACACTGCTCCCTGGGTTCCCAGTGGCAGATTTTGTGGAAGCAGACTGCCAGACCTTGCTTCAGAGGCACCTCTAGATGCATTCAAACTGCTGCCAACATGTTGGCTGAAAGCATTCACCGTTGGCACCACAGGTGGCCTCGGCTAGGGTGAGAGACCAGTGGGCCGGCCAGCCCAAGAGAGGACCGTTCCACATCCAAGCACAAGCCAAGCCAAGCGCACCGCTGTGGGTTCCATTCCGACTCTCCGTGACCCTGAAGGGCTTCCAGGGCTGTCCATCTTTGCAGCCTGCCCCGTCTTTCCCAGAGTTCCCTGGGTTCAAACCGCCAGCCTTTGGGTGAAGTGCTTTAACCACGGCACCACCACGGTCCTTTAGACTGCTGCCCAGGGATGGTAAGCCATGATATTCCACTGGCTAAAAGTCAGACACGAATTCCCTCTTCTTCAGGCTCAGAGAGAGACCCTGGAGACTGGGGCCTTAAGAAGGCAGCACGAAGGGTTAGCCACCTCCACCCACTCTGCCCCCAGGTACCACATGGCCTACCTCACCGATGGCGCCTGGAGCCCCGTGCGGCCAGCCGTCTTCTTCACCACCAAGATGGACGGGACCCTGGACATCTGGGACTTGGTGTTCAAGCAATGCGAGCCAGCCCTCAGCCTCAAGGTCACCCGGGCCCTCTGAGGCAGGGCCTCCTGGGAGAGGGGTGCAGCCGTGTGTGGGTGCAGTGTGTCCTGGGATTGAGGGTCTCTGGGAAGGTCCCCGCTGACAACGGTCCGCTAGCCCTGGTGCTGCTTGTGGTTAAAGACTCGGCTGCTATCCGGAAGGTCGGCAGTTCGAATCCACCGGCTATTTCAATGACAGCCCAGGGGTGGCAGTGGTGGGGGGCCCTGGGATGGCACTTCTCCGTCCCATTGGGGACTTGCCTTTTGTTTTCACTCTAGTTCCGGGGAGGGGGGACCTGCACCCCCTGTGGCACAGCAGAATCAATGGGGGTGTCGGGGCAGGGATGATAAAGTGGATGCTGCCAACCCCCACCCCCACCCCCCTGGCTTTGTCCCTTCCGAGTCCCTGGGCATCCTGAGTCCATCCTGGCCCTAAGCCTGTGGGAACCCCCAGAAGCCTGTGGACCTGCAGGAGGGGCTGGCGGGACACGATCCTGGTGGAGAAGGGTCTTGGCATGTGACCTTCCTCCCGCAGACTCTGGGGAGTGCCTGAGCCAGTGTTCGTGGGGCAGCGGGGTCCAGACCCCCAGGGGACAGTGAATCGGACGAGCCTCCTCTCTCCCTGCCCCTCTGGGTCGCCGGGCCCCTTTTAACAGGTGTGTGACGAGGCGCTCTTCTGCCTACGGGTGCAAGACAATGGGTATCTCACGGCCTGTGGCTCCCGGCTGGGGGCCACCACTCTGCTGGAGGTGTCCCACGGGCTGTCCACCCTGCAGAGGAACGAGAAGAACATAGCGTCCTCTGTAAGTGACTGCAGACCGGTCAGAGCAAGCACACGTGCACACACACACACACACACACACACACTCTCTCTCTCTCTCTCTCTCTCCCCCACCCGAGGAGATGCATGGGCATCTCAGAATGAGCATGCTAAATGTTGCAGTATCCGTGTGTCCGAGCTCAGCCGCTGGGTAGCTGGGTGACCCCATCCAAGTGTCTTCACCTCTGGGCTTTGACCAGGTCCGTGTGTCTTGGAGCTGACCCTGACTCCTGGTGACCCCCGTGTGCAGAGCAGAACAGCTCCAGAGAGTTGCCAGGCCTGATGGGAACAGTCTTCTGCGCTGCTGCTGGGCAGCTTTGGACTACCGGCTGGTCAGCCAGTGCTGGGCCATTCGCGTGATTGCTGACCGAGGGGTGGTTTGAACCCAGCTGGCCTCTTGGGAGGATGGTCAGCCTCGGACTTCCCAGAACGTGATCTCCTCTGACGGTGGGGTCACCCAGAGTTGGAATGGACTGGATAGCAAAGGTTTCATGGCGTTCAAAATCCCTCAGGGAAATCCCACCACGTGTTCATTCCATTTGGTGCAGTGGTTATGTGTTGGGCTGCAAACTTCAAGGTCAGCAGGTCGCAGCCACCAGCCAGTCCAAGGGCTTTCTACTCCCTTAAAGAGTTACAATCGGAGAACTGATCGCAATGATCCACTTATAACAACATCCACCCACACCCTGCCCCGAGGGGGACGAGCAACAGAAACGTGGGTAAAGGGAGGCAGCAGACAGTGTAGGATATGAAAACAATAATAACATAATTTATCAAGGGTTCACGAAGGCGGGAAGGTGGGGGAGGGAAGGCTAAAAGAGGAGTTGCTACCAAGGGCTCAAGTAGAAAGAATATGTTTTGAAAAGGATGATGGCAACATATGTACAAATGTGCTTGATACAATTGATGCACGGATTGTTAGAGGGGCTATAAGAATCCCCAATGAAATTATTTATTTTAAAAAAAGAAAAAGAGTTACAAGCTCAGAAACCCATAGAGGCATTCTACCGGTTCTACCTGTCCTATAGGATCGTCATGGTTGGGATGAAGTCAATGGCAGTAAGGTTTGGTTTGGGGTGTGTGTGTGTGTGTGTGTGTGCACTCACTCCCATCCACTTGACCCCCACTCATAGCGCGCCCATGGGACGGGGTAAAACCGTCCCTGTGCCTCTCTATGGGCGTCGAAAGCCTCATCTCTGTCCCACACAGCAGCTGGTGGTTTCGAACTGCTGAGCTGGAGTTCAGCAGCCCCATGCGGAACCACTGAGCCACCAGGGGCCCCTCTCATTCTGTACCCGCTGCCATCGAGTCCACGTCGACTCCCAGTGACGATAGGACAGGACAGGGTGGAATCGCCTCTGGGGGTTTCTGAGCCTGTGACTCTTTGTGGGAGTAGAAAGCCTGGTCTTTCTCCAGAGGAGCGGCTGGTGGCTTGGGGTAAATCCGCTGCACCACCAGCACCAGCACTCTTCAACGCTAAGTAGACTGGCCACAGAAGAAGCCTCAGGAAGACACTGTCCCAGCTGAGGGGCCCTGGGGGTCTGGGCACCTCCCCCACCCAGGAGCACTCTGTGGTCCTGCTGCAGAGTCCCCCCCGCCACCCCACCCCGGGAGCTTCGGGCCTGGGTGTGTGTCTGGGTTGAGCGCTCTGGCCCGCTGTCCAGCTCCCTGACCCAGGTACCCCTCATATTGGGGGCCCTCGTGCCCCGCTCGTCTTCTGACCCCGATCTCACCTCCGAGGCCCCGCCTCAGTAGAAGGCAGGTCTGGGTCCCCAGGGTTGGAGCCTCAGGCTGTCCCCCCTCTTCCCGTGTGCCCAGATATTCGAGCGGGAGACCCGGCGGGAGAAGATCCTGGAAGCCAGGCACCGAGAGATGCGGCTGAAGGAGAAGGGCAAGGCCGAGGGCAAGGAAGAGGAGCCGAGTGAGGACGAGATGGCTGTCAACCTGGAGGAGCTGGTCGCCAAGGCCGAGGAGGAGTTCTTCGACATCATCTTCGCGGAGCAGAAGAGGAAGGAGAAGGACGCCATGCACAAGAAGCCCATGCTGGTAGGACCCCAGCAGGGCGGGGCCTGGGGCGGGGCCTCGGCAGGCTGGGTTCTGCTGGTGGACACCCTGGGTGCCCCTGAGCCCAGGTTCAATCCTTGCAGCTGATAGCGTTATTGTTCACACTCACTGCCGTTGAGTCCTTTCCAATTCACAGCGACCCTGTAGGACAGGTAGAAACCCCTGTGGGTTTCCCACACTGTCGCTCTTTACGGAAATCGAAAGCCTCCTCTTTCTCTTAGTCAGCGGCTCCTTGTTTTGAACTGTTGCCCCTGCAGTTGGCAGCCCAACGAGGTGAGACCCAAGGTCCAACGGAACGAAACGCTGCCCGGTGCTGCACCATCCTCACAATTGTGCCCCTGCCGGAGCCCATTGTTGCCGTCAGGGGGTCCACGCGCCTGCTCCGGGGTCTTCCTCTTTTTCGCTGCCCCTCGACTTTAGCCAACCTAAGCGTCCTTCCCCAGGGACTGGTCTCTCCTGAACACACGCCCAAAGGACGTGAGACCAGGTCTGCCACCCTGGCCTCTAAGGAGCACTCTGGCTGAACTTCCTCTAAGACAGATCCGTTTGTCCCTTGGGCCGTCCGTGGTGCTTTCCATAGTCTCCCCCAGCACCACCATTCAAATGCCTCGATTCTCCCTCGCCTTCCTCGCTCACTGTCCAACATTCCCATGCCCGTGAGGCGATCAGAAACACCCTGGCTTGGGTCAAGCGCACCTTCACCCTCACAGTACAACCCTCGCTTTGCAGCCCTTGAAAGAGATCTTGTGCCGCAGGTTTGCCAAGTGCAATGCGTCACCTTCCCCTCTCCTGACCCCTTGACTGAGCATCGAGGGTGGCGCCAAGCCTTGCAGGGTGGACCTCAGTTTCATCCCTCTGGCAAGTGGGGGGAGTTGTGCCAATCTCCCAGGCACAACCCAAGTCTCCAAAGAGACCTCAGACCGCCCTGGGGGCAGTTGTCCTGGTCCGAGTTGGTATTCGCCCCTCCCCACCCTTGACCGTGCTGGCTGACTCACTGAGGAGGACTTGGGGGGCATGTGGGTTATTCGATGCGAGTAAGCTTTGAGGTTATCCCAGGAAGGGGCTGGGGGGGCCTGTTGCCCCAGGCCTGGGTCAGGGGTGTGACTTGGCTTAGCTGCTCTGTCCATGGGTCATTGGGCTGTTCCCTGGCCTTCTGAGTGCCTCAGTTGTCCGTCTGGCAATGAGGAGATTGAGCTACCAATATGGAGGCTAGCGGTCTTCCAGGCCACCTTCTGCCAGGGAGCAGAGACTTGACGGGTCTTGGCTCAGGAAGGGGCAAACCTGAGGTGGCCCGATCTACAAGCAGCAGAGACAGGACTGGTCCGGAGTCAGCAGGACCCCAGAGAACGTGTCCACTCCCACCTACCTCTGGCTCTGAGCATTCATAGTGGCCCCTGGCGGCCCAGGGTTCAGCGGGCCTCAGAGAAGGCAGTGAGGAATTGGTGGGCTCTTAGGGTTAACTTCCTGCCCCCACCCCAGAAGAGCCTGTCTTGCCATGCCCCCCCACCCCCCAGCATGTCCGTGGTATATTTTCTCAATAGATGCAGGACCTGGAGGAGGAAGAAGAGGAGCTTGTGGACCAACAACCAGATGGCGAGGAAGAGGGGGGTGAGGAGGACAGGCCAGTCTAGAAGGTCAGCCTTCCACCACAGCCCCACCCCACATGGGGCTTCCCTACCACCTGGGCCCCTCCCTACACCATCCCTTTGCTGGCTCTCTACTTCCCCGCAGACCACAGGCCATGCTGACTCTGGAGGAATCCCAGAGGATCCCCTTCACTGGTTCGGCCACCCTGCAGACCAGCCTGAGGCCACCACCTCGCCCAGTGTGGGCCCCGATGTCCGATTCGATTCACTGACAATCATCTTGCTTCAGCAAGCTGCACTGCTCAGAGCGGGGCCTGCCAGAGCCAAGCCCCCCCCACTCCTTGGAGGGGCCTTCACCTCCCCCATAGTGACTTCTCCCATCCACAACACAGCAGGAGCACCTGTCAAAGCCACCTCCCCATCCCACGCCCCAGGGCCTGTCTCACACATGGGTGCAGGCACTCTGGGTGCTTGCTCTTGTGTGTGGAGAACTTCCTAAGATTAAAGGACTGATGGTAGAAAACTCAACGCAGCTCTTGTCCTGTTTCCTCACATCGGCCTGAAAGATGCCTCTGGAGGGCTGGGCTCCAGGTCCACCCAGATTGCCCACCGCCAACAATTCAAAGGAGTCGGGCTGCTAACCCCAAGGCCAGCAGTTCGAAACCACCAGCCACTCTGAGGGAGAAAGAGGAGGCTTTCTGCTCCCAGAAAGAGGGACAGTCTCGGAAACCCAACGGGGCAGTTCTACCCCGTCCATAGGGCCACTGTGAGTCAGAATGAACTTGGTGGCAGTGAGTTTTTCAATATGACAGTCAGTCAAGGACCACTCAGAGCGGCCCTGCAGGACAGAGGAGATGGCCCCGTGGGGTTGCGTAGAACCGACTCAGGGCACCTGACAACAACAACAACAATAACAACAAACCTTGAGAAGATAGAACTGAGGCTCACCTGGGTGGTGTGCATACTCTGAGCCCGGCGCTCTGGCTTCTTGGCAATGGCCCCAGGATGCAACCCCTCCTCCATCCCCACTTTACAGGTGAGGCGCAGAGAGAAGAAGCAGCGTGCCCAAGTCCAAGGCGAGTGAGCAGCAGAGGAGGGGCCGCAGCCCCAGTCTAGCCCCTAGAGCGCCCACCCATACCCCCCACACGCCAAGGGCTCCCAGCCCTGAACGAGTAGCCTCGGCTGGTCCCCCTTCCCCCCAGCGCTGCCATCTGGGCAGCAGGCAGAGGGTGCCAAGGCCACCCGGCTCCGACTCCTGGTGACCTCATGGTGCCAGAGTAGAACTGTGGCCCACAGGGGCTTGGAGGGAACCTCTCAGTAGCTGAGCTTCTTAGCCATGTGCACCCTCCCCTCCTGGGACAGGCCCCTCACAGGACGCGAAAAGGGGGTGGGGGGTGTCTGGCACCGGCTTTAGAGCAGTAGTTTGGGTAATTTCTTGAGACAGTTGGGTGGCCACATGCTGTGTGTGTGTGTGTGTGTGTGTGTGTGTGTTCTAGTGGGTAAAAGCTAGGACTGCTGTTCAGTATTATACAACAAACAGGCCCCCCCCCACTACACACATACACACACACTGCAAGAATAATTCCACCCAAATATCAATAGGCAAAAGGTTGAATAGTATATGATCCTGCTTCCAAGACAGATCTAGGCCAGGCAAGTGCAGAGAGGTGATCAGTGGCTGCCTGGGTCTGAGGGGAGGGGGAGCTCTCACTTAGGGGCCACTGAGTTCCCATTTAGACCCAACTCGGAACCTGCTGCCACGAAGTCGATTCCGACGCTAGAGGACAAAGCAGAACTGCCCCCGGGGGTGTCCAAGGTTGTGAATCTGAACGGCTCCAACCACCTCATCTTTTCTCCTCTGGAAGGACCACCGGGTCCCTCCACTTGACCAAACATGCTGTCCTTCCCCAGGGACTGGCCTCTCCTGACAACAGGTCCCAAGTCCTCGAGGCCGAGTCTGGCCATCCTCTCCCCTAAGGAGCACTCTGGCTGTACTTCTTCCAGGACAGGTTTGCTGGTCCTTTTAGCCATCCTCCGGGCTGCGGACGTGCTCCTCCAGCACCACAGTCCAATTGCACCGATTCTTCTTGGTCTTCCTTCGGCTGTGTCCAACTTGTACATGCCTGTGAGGCAACTGACAATACCAGGGCTCGGGTCAGGTGTGCCTCAGCCCTCAGTCACAGCCTTGCCTTTCAGCACGCTAAAGGGGCCTTGTGCGGCGTGTTAATGTCATCCAGTCGGCCCGACCCACAGCGACCTCGTGCGCAACAAAAGGAAACACTGTCCGGTCCTGCGCCCAAGCCCACTGCTGCTGCCACTCTGTCCACCCATCTCTTTAGAGGCCTTCCTCTTTGTTGCTGCCCCTCTATTTTTTCAAGCACGGTGTCATTCTCTGGGGATCGGGGATTAGCATCCCTGAATGATCCACTCCGGGGCCATAAAAACGGCAGATTTTATTTATGCCCCAGAGTTACCAAAAACTCACAGCCTCCAAGTCAAGTCTGGCTTTTAGCAACCCTAGAAGACAGGGCTGAACCTCCCCTGTGGGCTCCCAAGACAGTCATTCTTTACAGAAGCCGATGGGTGCATCGTTCTCCCAAGGAGCAGCCGGTGGTTTTGAACTGCTGACCTCGTGGTTCACAGCCCAGCATTTCACCCACCGCGCCACCTGAGCTCCTGGTAGGGGCTGCCCCAAGAGTGCTTTTAGAAAGGTCAGCAGCTCCAAGTCTGAGCCAGCGAGAGCGTGGACCCCTGGGCTGCGGGAGGCCCAGCAGAATCGTCAGCCCCAGCTGCCACCACTCGCCTCACCGCAGGGAAGCCGTCCCAGCCATCCCTGGTGGTTATCGGTGCTGATGAGTCGGTTCGACTCAACCACCCCAGGTACAAGGGAACCAAACAGCGCCCGGTCCTGTGCCGTCCTCACAATTGTCCTTATGTGGAGCCCATGGCGGCAGACACCGTGCCCACCCTTCCTCTTTTTCACTGCCCCTCTAACTTGCTACGATTACCCCCACACACAAAAAAACCTCACGTCCATCGAGTCCACACCAACTCGTAGGGACCCTGTAGGACAGCGGAGACCTGTCTTGTGACCAAGACTGTCATTGTTCACGGGAGTAGAGAGCCCCATCTTTGTGCCCTGTGGAGCAGTGGGTGGTATCCAACCTCTGACTTTTCAGGTTACAGCCAAGACGCCACCGGGCTCCCAGCCATTGCGCTGGGGTGCGTGAATGAAACCCTGGAACCATACGGCCCGCGAATCATGATCTCCATCTCCGAATGGCCCTTGGTACAAAAGGGTCCTCATCCCTGCTCTGCCCAGCCCAAATGCCCCCTGAGAAAGTCCCAGTGCCATCGTGCGTTGGCCTGGGCGCAGGGAGGTGCCCCGCAGTGAGATCTGGGTAGAGAGCACGCTTTGGCCGCACTACAATTCTGGCCTTTCTCCTGGCCCTGGAGCGGTGAGCCGTGTGCCGGGGACTGCAAGCCCTGCGCCGTGGGCACAGAGAGCCCCATTGTGGCACAGAGGCATTTGAGGAATGACCTGTGGGAGAAAAGGAGAGAGCCCACAGAGGCCACTGGGCAGCAGATGGCTGGAGCTCTGAAGACGGACGCCAGTGGTCTTTGCCTGCCCCACCCACCGCCTTCTCCCCCTATTCACTTGCCCCACCAGGAACCAAACAAAACTCTGATGCGTCATCTGCGAGCCCAAGACCACTGGGAGGCCACTCCACCTGGGTGTGGAATATGGCGTTCCAGGTCCAGTCTGCGTGCAGGGACATGCCCCAGCAGGGTGGAAAAGTGGCAGCAACCACAGCCACCGCCACCACCACTGCCCCCCCAACCCCCCAGCATCCACACCTGGGCCGAGTGGACCCTCCCGTTGACTTTCTCCACCCTGATTTGAAGGGCACAGGCACTACTTCAGCTGACAACAGGGACAGCCCAGTACCCCGGGAGAGTGGTACCCAGGGACAGCCCAGTACCCCGGGAGGGTCAGTACCCAGGGAGGGTCCGCCCTTTGACTCATAGTGACTCTGCATGTGGAGCTACATCTTTCTCCCCAGGAGCGGCTGGTGGGCCAGAACCCCCAACCTTGCAGAAAGCTTACATTTACCTGACAGCTCTCCCAGGGCTCCTTCCAGCTAGAAATACCCAAACCCAAACCCAACCAGCCCAACCCACTGCCATGGGGTCGAGACCACCTTATGGGACCCTTGGGGGGTCCTGGAGCCTGTCCATCTTTACAGGAGCAGATAGCCTCGTCTAGTCTCCTGTGGGGAAACTGGCGGTTTTGAACCCACGACCCTGCAGTCGCCAGCCCCATGCTTATGCAACAGCAGATGTGTCATCGGATGATTTGATGTCACCCGCACTTTTGTACGGGGGAATCCAACCTGTCAATCCGTCACAGCTTGATGATGCCTCCTGGGAACTGAAACCGGACACTTTCTCTTTGCCTTCCTGCTTGTTGGGACTCTGTCTCTGCCTCCAGGAGCAGCCCCATTGTGGGTGCCTGCCCTCAGCAGCACCCTGCCATAGATCCACGCCACTCTGCACCCACCAGCCTGAGAGCTCCCTGCTTCTGCATCCCCTGAATCCGAAGAGGGCCAGTCTAACATCAGATTATGCATTTGCATTGGATGGGGCTAGGATGTATATTCTTTTCTTTTTTAATCATTTTATTAGGGGCTCATGCAACTCTTACATAGGATGTATATTCTTGAGATACAACTGCTTGTTGAAACAAAGCTCTCGCTCCGTCGCTGGGTCTGTACCCTAGACAACCCAGCCCAACACACCGGACAAAGTAGGAACCGGAACTAGCTCATGGAGTTTTCAGGTTTGAAGGTCTGAACCAGCTCAGGGGTGTACGGGTGGGCAGAGCACCACTGCCTTCCCTCATCCCGATGCCAGGCCCTGGGGGGGGGGCAGGGGGGAGTATGCATGATCCAACCCCTGGCCCCTGCATTCCTGGTTTCGATCATCTCAGCCTGAAACCCCAAAGAAGCCCCAGAGAGCCTCCTCCCCCAGCATAACAAACCCCCAGGGAAACAGATTGGTCTCGTTGGAGTCATTAGCCCACTGTGTGGCTATGGCCAAGCCTTAAGTGGCAGTGGGGGGATGGGATGCTGGCATGGGCTCTAAGAGGCTCCTGTGGCATGGGGTGGGGTGGACCTTCCGAGGAAAGAAGACGGTGACTTCGTTAGACTTTGAAGAAGGAGGGGTTAGTCAGATAACTAAACTGGTCCGTGCGGAGGCTGGAAAGACCAGTGGCCAGGAGCTGAGGACGAGGTGGAGCAGCTGCTGAGAGGTAAAACTCCTAGGCTGGGGGAGAGAGGGTGATGGGAAAGGAACTCAGATGTGACCGTGAGATCGGGCGACAAGCCCATAGGGTTCTCACTGGCAAGTACAGAGAAGTCAAGTGGAGGAAACGGGTTGGGATGAGGATGACTTTGTGACCAGTCTTCAATTAAGGTGGCCTGGGAGCCCCTTGTTTAGAAGACCCTCTTATTTTCACCCAGGGGTCATCCTGGGTGGGCTGTCGGCATGCAGAGGAGGCTAAAGGGAAGAGAAAAACAGCTCTCCATGTTCTGGAGAGCTACGGTGGTGTAGCAGTTATGAATTGGCCTGCCATCCTCAAGGTCAGCAGTTCAAAACCACCAGTGGCTCTGCAGGAGCAAAGAGGCTTTCGCCTCCCATAAAGGGGTTACAGGCTCAGAAGCGCACAGAGGCAGGTCTACCCTGTCCTATAGGGTCACTGTGAGTCTGCGTTGAGCTGGTGTGAACTGCTGTTGTTCTAGATGCCTTCAGGCCAGTTCTGCCTCACAGCTCCACCCCAAGCCCGACAGAATAAAACACGGCTTGGTCCTGCACCGCCCCACAATGGCTCTTACATGTGAGCCCATGGCTGCAGCCACTCTGCCAATCCCTCTCGTCGAGAGCCCACCCCTCCAGTATTATATATATATATATTGGATTCTGGGCCCTTGGGCCTGTGGAAGGGATCTTGTTCTGAAACAGGTTATTTCTTGTATGAGGTTATTGAAATCCAACTAGTGGAGGGTGGATCCGGAACCTCCTCCCTTCTGAGTCCTACGTGTGGACCAGAGACACAAAGGAGGAAGAAGGAAGTCGGAAGACGGAGGCCACGTGTCGGTGGGCTAAAAGCCGAAAAAGTGAGACATGCTGCCGATAAGGAAGGCATGCCCTCTGCCGAGATCCTGATGGGGACCATTAGCTCCAGAACTTTTCTAAAAATAAATGTCTGTTCTTGAAAGCCACTCCCTTGTGATAGTTGTGTCATGGCAGAATGAAGACCCTAGGCCGGTTGGCTTGCTTCCCGAGTCTCCTGGGGCTGATCCGAATAACGGAGACCCCGGGCTCTGAAGAATGACCCGGGAGGGCTTTCTCCATCCAATGAACACATCCTCAAAGCTTGCCCAAGGCTGGTTGAGGTGTGCCCATCTGCCACCCGGGCGGAGCCTGCTGGAGCAGCCTGGGCAGGAGAAGGGGAGCCAACTGTGTGACCCTTGTGGAGTGCCTGGTCTCCAACAAGCTTTGTTGGGCTTATCACATCGGCCCCACCCTGGCAGCTTGCTGTGTTGCCTGAAGCCGTACCACCAGTCTTCTCTTCCAAATACCAGCAATCTCACCCGTCTCGTCCACAGCTTTCACCAGAACCTGCAGGGGAGGAAAGGCCTGATGATCCACAATAGACCACTGACCAGCTTGCTGTGGGCAGGTCAACAAGAGGGGTGGCATTGGGTGCCGACGAAAGAGCACCAGCGATGGAGACCCTTAGTGAGAGAAAAGGACCCAGCAGGCACCGCGGCAGACTCAAGCAGGCATTTATTTATCAAGTCCATAGGCTGCTTATTAATAACCAGACCCCGGGGGAGCGTCTGGAAGGCAGTCCCAGCGGGCAAGCTGGCATCAGGCTCTCCTCTGGCTGTGCGCCACATCTGCCCTGGGCACAGCCATCTTCCCCGCCCAGCTTATTCTACTAGAAGTGAACTCCCCCACGGGTGGTGCCCTCCCCCAGCCAGGAAGGGGTGCTGGACTCGGCTTCAGTGGGAGGCAGAAAGCAAGCTGGACAGACCCCAGAACGGGAGGGGGTCCACATCCGGCAGGAACCTATGCGGGGTGGGAAGAGGCTGCCTCCAGGAGAGGCAGGGCTGGGATTAGAATCCTGTTTTCCTGGGGGCCCCCTGAGGCCAGGAATCTTTCCACAGCCATCCTTGTATACGTGTGTAACTGTCGTCAACCAACAACAGCGACAGTGGGTGTGTCCTGGGCTTCTTGCTTCTCTAAAGCATGGGTCCCCGGAGGTGTTGCAGGCCATAGGCATGATCCAGCCCGCTCTTGTGTGACACCCCCCCAAACCCAGCCCGAACACCCCAAGACTTATAGAGGCTGCTGGAGGCCTGTCGGGGGCTGGGGTGAGCAGCCCGGGCAAAGGGCCAGGTCTGCTCCCCAGGCCCTGGGCTGGGGCACCGGGGGAGGCGAGGAAACCCGAAGCTCCAGCCGCTGCCCTGGAGACGCCCATGGACAGGTGGACCGAGGGGCAGGCCGGGCGGGCGCCCCCGGGGAGGGCAGCGGACCAGGGGCGTCCAGGCCGCGAGACGCCCAGAAGCAGCCAAACGGACGCCGAGCCCGGCGGACACACGGACGCCTAGGGCGGAGGGCGC